CCCCCCCCCAAAAACCCCCCCTCAGGGGGGACCCCCCCAAAATTCGGGTGCAGCCCCAGAATTAAACCTTTAATCTTCTTATTCTTCCTCCTCCTCTTCCTCCTCCTCCTCTTCCTCCTCCCCCCTGGCCTCAATCCGCCCTCAGGGCCGGCCGGACTGTCCCGGTATCACCTGGACTGTCCCAGTATCCCCCAGTCCGGCCCAGTAGAAGCCCAGACTGTCCCAGTCCAAGCCCAGACTACCCCAGTATGTCCCAGACTGTCCCAGTACAAGCCCGGATTGCCCCAGTATCCCCCAGTATGTCCCAGTCCCCTCAGGGCCGGCCGGAGCGAGGGGCGAAGCAGGCCGCGAAAAGGGGGAAAAAAAAGGAAAAAAAGGAAAAAAAAGGGGGAAAAAAGGGGAAAAAAGAAGAAAAAAAGGTAGGGAAGAGGGTAAGAGCCAAGCCCGGACTATCCCAGTATGTCCCAGACTGTCCCAGTACAAGCCCGGATTGCCCCAGTATCCCCCAGTATGTCCCAGTCCGTCCCAGTCCGGCCCCGCCGCCCCTCCCCCCGCGCCGCAGGGGCCGCTGGGTGGGGGCGGGGCCCTTCCCGGCATCCCCCGCGCTGGGGGGGCTCGGGGGGGACCCCAAATCTCCTCTTTTCCCCCCAAAACCCTCCCGTGACCCCCAAACCTCCTCTTTTCACCCCCGGCACCCCCCAGCCCCCCGCTGAGCCCTCCCCAAAAAAATCCGCTGCCGATTAAAGAGGGAAAGGAGAGGGGGAAAAGGGAAAAAAAGGGGAAAAAAGGGGAAAAAGGGGAAAAAAAGGGAAAAAAAGGGAAAAAAGGAGGAGAGAAGGAGGAAAAAAAGGTGGAGAAAAGGTAAAGGGGGGTTGGAAAGGTTGGAAAGGGGGGTGAAGTGGGAAAAGAGACGGGGAGGAGGTGGGGGAGAGAAGGGGAAGGTGGAAAAGGAGGGGAAATAGAGAAAATGAGGGAAAATGGGGGAAAAAATAGAGAAAATGGAGGAAAAATAGAGAAAATAAGGGGAAATGTGGGGAAAAAATAGAGAAAAGTCAGGAAAATGAGGGGGGAAATAAAGAAAATAAGGGAAAATGAGGGAAAAAAATAAAGAAAATAAGGGAAAATGAGGGGAAAATAGAGAAAAGTCAGGAAAATGAGGGAAAAATAGAGAAAATAAGGGAAAATGGGGGGAAAATAGAGAAAATGGGGGAAAAATAGAGAAAAGTCAGGAAAATGAGGGGAAAAATAGAGAAAATAAGGGAAAATGAGGGGAAAAAATAAAGAAAATAAGGGAAAATGAGGGGAAAAAATAGAGAAAATAAGGGAAAATGAGGGGAAAAATAAAGAAAGTCAGAAAAAAAGGAGCATAAACAAGGAATAAAGAAGGGAAAGGAGGGAAAAAATAAAGAAAATAAGGGAAAATGAAGGGAAAAATAGAGAAAAGTCAGGAAAAAGCATAAACAGGGAATAAAGAAAGGAAAAAATAAAGAAAATAAGGGAAAATGAGGGAAAAATAAAATAAGGAGAAAGAAGGAAAGTAAATAAAATAAGGGAAAATGAGGAAAAAAATAGAGAAAACACAGGAAAGAGGAGCAAAAAAAGAAAAATCAGAAAAAAGGAGCATAAAGAAGGAATAAAGAAGGGAAAAGGAGGAAAAAGAAGGAAAAAGGAGGATTAGGGGAGAAAAATGAAGGAAAAGAAGGAAGGGGGACCCTTCTCCTTCCCTTGTGCCTGTTAAATGGCACTGCATTTTATTATTTCATTTTATTTTATTTTATTGATGTTAAAAATTTTATTTTATTTTAAACTTTTATTTTATTTTAAACTTTTATTTTTAATTAATTTTATTTTATTTTTTATTCTATTTTAAAATTTATTTTTAATTCTATTTTAAAATTTAATTCTATTCTCTTTTAAAATTTAATTCTATTTCATTTTATTTCATTTCATTTTATTTTTAAACTTAATTTTATTCTATTCTATTTTTAAGTTAAATTATATTCTATTTTATTTTATTATCTTTTATATATTTTTTCCATTATGTTTAATTTCATTTCCATTTCATGATCGCTTCCTCATTTTACATCTTGCTTCATGTCATTTAATTTAATTTCATGGCTTCTATTTTATTTGTTCAGTATTTAGTGTCAGTCTGTCAATTAGAACAAATGGGTTCACACGTCTGTAGTTATTAATTATCATCCTTATTTATTTATCCATTTACTTCCCTATCAAAACATTTTCCTTTTATTTATTTAATGAATAAAACTCCTTATTTATCACTCAACTCCCTACCAGGACTATTTATTATCTGCAATATTTTATTTACCTATGATTATTTATTTATTTGCTTATTTTTAAAGTATTTCTTTCTATTATTTAATAAAAATTTGGGTTTTTTGCAGGAGTTTCCAGAGGCCCAGGACCCACCTGAGCAGAATTAGGGGCTCAGAGGATTCCAGGTGAGCTGGGGCAGGAAACCCAGGCTTGGAAAGCAGAATTTGGGAATATTCTTGATTTTTCCAAACCTCTTGCCTGTTTCAAAGCCAACGTAAAGAAATGGGGGAGGAAAAAAAAAATCCCACCTAGACGAGTTAAATTGGACTAAAATTTACTTATATACCTATATATAAAAATATCATATCTATACATATGATATATGAAATAAAAGCAAGGAAAAGGGAGGAAAAACAAGGAATAAAGAAGGAAAAGCAAGGAATAAAGGAGGAAAAGGAAGGAATAAAGAAGGGAAAACAAGGAATAAAGTAGGAAAAACAAGGAATAAAGTAGGAAAAGGAAGGAATAAAGTAGGAAAAAGGAGGAAAAACAAGAAATAAAGAAGGAAAAATAAGGATTAGGGGAGGAAAATGAAGGAAAAGCAGGAAAAGAGCAGAGGGTTAGGGTTATATATATAGATATATATGTATATAATATACATATATAATTTTTTTTTTTTTTTATATTTCTACCTCTGTATTTTCCTGAAATAGCCCAATTCTCCCTCCTCAGGCTGAGTTTGGGATGCAGCTGCTCCTGGACAGACCCAGAGAATTCCCAGGAGCCTGATCGGAGCCGGAGCAGCCCCGGGGGGTCCCATGGAGCAGGGGGGGAGCCCCCAGCCCCAGCAGGAGGCTGAGGGGGGGGACGGAATCCCCGGGGCTGGGGACGCAATTCCCGACGTCGGGGATAGAATTCCCGGTGTTGGGGATGAAATTCCCGGTGTTGGGGATGGAATTCCCGGGGCTGGGGACGCAATTCCCGACGTCGGGGATGGAATTCCCGGTGTTGGGGATGGAATTCCCGGTGCTGGGGACGGAATTCCCGCTGTTGGTGACGGAATTCCCGGTGTAGTGGATGAAATTCCCGGTGTTGGTGACAGAATTCCCAGCATTGGTAACACAATTCCCGGTGTTGGGGACGGAATTCCCGGTGTTGGTGATGGAATTCCCAGTTTAGGGGATGAAATTCCTGGTGTTGGTGACAGAATTCCCGGTGCTGGTGACACAAATCCCCGGGGCTGGGGACGCAATTCCCGACGTCGGGGATGGAATTCCCGGTGTTGGGGATGGAATTCCCGGTGCTGGGGGTGAAATTCCCAACGTAGGGTATGAAATTCCTGGTGCTGGGAGCACAATTCCCAGTGCTGGGGATGGAATTCCCGATGTTGGGGACACAATTCCCAATGTTGGAGGTGGAATTCCCGGTGCAGGGGACAGAATTCCCGCTGTTGGTGACGGAATTCCCGGTGTAGTGGATGAAATTCCCAGTGTTGGTGACAGAATTCCCAGCGTTGGTAACACAATTCCCGGTGTTGGTGATGGAATTCCCAGTTTAGGGGATGAAATTCCTGGTGTTGGTGACAGAATTCCCGGTGCTGGTGACACAATTCCCGGTGTTGGTGACGGAATTCCTGATGCTGGTGATGGAATTCCTGGTGTTGGTGACGGAATTCCCGATGCTGGTGATGGAATCCCTGGTGTTGGTGACGGAATTCCCAGTGTTGGTGACACAGTTCCCGGTGTTGGTGACGAAATTCCCAGTTCTGGCGACACAACCCCCGTAGCCAGCCCCTCCCCACCCAGGACCGCCACCGGGGCCCGATCCCGGGGGGCACCCAGCCCCGAGCGACCCCCGGGGGTCTCCCCCCCCCAGCGGCAGCAGCCCCCCGAGGATTTGGGGTCCCCGCCGGGCGGGCCCCCCGAGGAGCTGTACCGCGTCAAGTGGATCCGCTGGAAGGGGCAGCGCACGGCCGTGGTCACCCAGAGCCAGAACGGGCCCTGCCCGCTCCTGGCCCTCATCAACGTCCTCCTGCTGCGCTGGAAGGCAAGCCGGGGCCGGGGGGGCTCGGGGGGCACCCCAAACCCCCACGGGGAGGGTCCCAGGGACGGTGCCCAGCCCCCTCTGGCCGCCCCCAGGTGAAGCTGCCCCCGCAGACGGAGGTGGTGACGGCCGAGGAGCTGATGGCACATTTGGGTGAGCGGGGACCCGCCGGGGCTGGGGTGGGGGGCTCCGCTGGGACCCCCGCATTCCTTGGGGTGACCCCGCTGCCCCGCAGGGGATTGCATCCTGGCCACCCAACCCCGGGACACCTCGGAGGGGCTGCAGCTGAACTTCCAGCAGGTGAGGAGCGAGCCGAGAACGTCCCCGGGGGAGCTGGGCTGCCTGCGGGATTTGGGGTGGCACCTTCAGGAGTGACCCCCCCCCCTGTTTCTGCTGCCCCCCCAGAACATCAGTGACACCATGACGGTGCTGCCCAAGCTCTCCACGGGGCTGGACGTCAACGTGAGGTTCACGGGGGTCTCAGATTTCGAGTACACCCCCGAGTGCATCGTCTTCGACCTCCTCAACATCCCGCTCTACCACGGCTGGCTGGTGGACCCCCAGGTGAGCCCCCCCCCCTGCCTGGCTGGGGGCTTCTGTGGGGGCACAGGAGGGACCCCAGGGCTGGAGAACTCTGCTGGGAGCAGCTGGGGGTTGTCCTGGACAAGGGGACCGAGCTGAGGAGGGATGTCCCAACCCTGGGAGGGCTCGGGGCAAGGTTGGATGGGGCTTGGAGCAACCTGGGGGTGTCCCTGCCTGTGGTTTTTGGGGTTCTAGATGAACCTGGCCTAGCAGGAGGTGTCCCTGCATGTGGATTTTGGGTGTCCAGGTGAACCTGGCCTAGCAGGAGGTGTCCCTGCCTGTGGTTTTTGGGGTTCTAGATGAACCTGGTCCTGCAGGAGGTGTCCCTGCATTTGGGTTTTGGGGTTCTAGATGAACCTGGTCCTGCAGGAGGTGTCCCTGCCTGTGGATTTTGGGGTTCTAGATGAACCTGGTCCTGCAGGAGGTGTCCCTGCCTGGGGTTTGGGGGTCCGGATCAACCTGGCCTAGCAGGAGGTGTCCCTGCCTGAGGCTTGGGGGAATCCAGACCATCTCCAGATGATCCAGAACTCCCCAGCCCAAAGCCCCCGGTGCTGTTTGGGATGTGGCTCTGGGCCTGAGGCTCCTCTGGCCGTGGCAGGCGGCTGCACTGGGTGGTCCCGTCCCTGGCAGACCCCTCCACGCCCAGCAGCAGCCCCCCCCTGTCCCCGCCATCCCCCAGAGCCCCGAGCAGGTGCAGGCCGTGGGCAAGCTCAGCTACAACCAGCTGGTGGAGAAGATCATCACCTGCAAACACGCCAGCGACTCCGGCCTGGTGAGCGAAGGTAACGGCGGCGCTGGGGGGCACAGCTGGGCACCCCCAGCCCCCCAGCTGTGTTTGAGGGGGAGACGGGAGCCTTGGCCCCGAGCTCCGGATTTGTGTGTGGTGTTGTGTTAAAGTGTTAGGTTAAAAATGTGCTGAAAAGAATAGAGAGATGTCGTCAGAAGGGAAGGGGAGGGGAAGGAAGGGAGGGAAGGGAAAGGAAAGGAAAGGAAAGGAAAGGAAAGGAAAGGAAAGGAAAAGAGGAAAGGAAAGGAAAGGGAAGAGGAAAGGAAAGGAAAGGAAAGGAAAGGAAAGGAAAGGAAAGGAAAGGAAAGGAAAGGAAAGGAAAGGAAAGGAAAGGAAAGGGAGAAGGAAAAGAAGAAGGAAAGGGAGGGGAAGGGAAGGGAAAGGAAAGCTCGTGACTGTCAGGGCCCGAGGCAGCTGCTTTTTGGGAAGTGCCACGGCTGTCCCGCAGGGCTGGCGGCCGAGCAGTTCCTGCAGAGCACGGCGTCGCAGCTGACCTTGCACGGGCTCTGCGAGCTCACGGCCCGCGCCCGCGAGGGCGAGCTCGGCGTCTTCTTCCGCAACAACCACTTCAGCACCGTGCTCAAGCACCAGGTGCGGCCCCGGAGCCCGCTGCGCCCCCCGGGACCCCCGCCCCGGCCTCGCTGTCACCTGTCCCCCCTGCCCAGGGCCACCTCTACCTGCTGGTGACCGACCAGGGCTTCCTGCGGGAGGAGGGGGTGGTGTGGGAGAGCCTGCACGGCGTGGATGGGGACAGCTGCTTCTGCGACAGCGACTTCCACCTCAGCACCCCCCCGGGCACGCGGGGAGCCCCCCAGGAGCACCGGCTGCAGCAGAGACAAGCGGAGCAGGTTTGGGGACAAGTGGGGGACACGCGAGTGCCATCCCGGGGATCCCAGAGGTGCTGACCCCCCCCTCTCTTTTTGGCAGGATTACATGGTGGCCCTGTCCCTGCAGCGGGGCCAGGACCCCCCCTCGGTGCTCGGCGACCTGGAGCTGGCGCGGCAGCTGCAGCACGAGGAGTACCAGCAGCACCATCCTCATCCTCACCATCCTCATCCTCCCCCTGCCGCTCCTCAGCCGCTCCCAGCGCAGGTAACCCGGGGTTCCCCCCAGCCCTGGGGGGGTTTGGGGGGGTCTCTGCAGGTCCCCCCCCCCCTCCCCAAGAGCTCAGTCCTGTCCCTGTCCCCACAGCGGCGGTCCCGGCAGAGGCTGGATTCGGACTGCACCCTCCTGTAGCGCCTCGAGCCCGGGGGTCCCCGCACCCAGAGCCCCCCCAGACCCCGCTCTGCCTCCTCCAGGGGTCCCTGCGGGGCTGGAGATGAGGGGTGTGACCGTCTGAACCCACCCCAAACTTCCCAGTGGCCTTAACACGGCGGGGTCGCACTCGGGGGGGGTCCCACAGCTCAGTCCGTGCTCTGGGACACGGGGGGATGGGGGGGGACAGGGACCCCCCCCCCCGGCTCAAAATGTGGCCTTAGCCCTTGGCAAGTAAAGGACTTGGCCCCCTGCACGCGGGTCTGGCACCCTGACACTTGGGGGGGTTGGGGCAATCGGGGGGGTTTGGGGGGTTTGGGGTCACGGATCCTCTGTGGGTTTGGGGGAATCAGAGGGGCTTTGGGGGATTTGGGGTCACCGTTCCTCCGGGGTTTGGGGGAATTGGGGGGTGTTTGGGGGATTTGGGGTCACGGTTCCTCTATGGGTTTGGGGGATCGGGGAGGTTTGGGGGAATTTGGTCGGGTTTGGGGTCACGGATCCTCCAGGGTTTGGGGAATTTGGGGGATTTGGGGTCACAGTTCCTCCGCGGGTCTGGGGGAATTGGGGCCCCTGGGTTTTGGGGTGCACAGGGCTGTACAGGGGTGTGCAGAGGGACATATAAGGGGTACACATGGGGTGTGTAGGGATGAGCACAGGGCACACAGAGAGGGGGGTATAGGATGTATAGGGGGCACATACAGGGCTGTCTATAGGGTGTCTGTGGGGCACACACAGGGCTGTCTATAGGGTGTATAGGGGGCTGTCTATGGGGTGTCTATGGGGCACACACAGGGCTGTCTATAGGGGGTGTATTTGGGATCTATAGGGGGCACCGCGGGCTCTGTAGGGAATGCATCGATCCCATCTCGGCGGTCGATTACTCACGCCTAGGCCCCGCCCCGCCCCACGGCGGGCGCCTCTCCCCGCGGCGTTGCGGTGACGTCACTCCCGGCGTTGCGGTGACGTCACTGCCGCCGCTGCCTGGCGCGGGGCGCGCGCGGGACCGAGGGGGGCGAGCGGCGGCTCCGTGAGGCGGCTCCGTGAGGGCTCCGGGTGAGTGCGGCCGGGCCGGGGGCGCACGCGGGGGCTTTCCCCGCTCCGGGAGGGGCCGCCCGGAGAGCCCCGCGGGACGGTCCCGGCTCGCCCGCGGCCGGGCCTTTCTGCGGGCGTTGGGCGCGCACCGGAGCCGTGCCGGGCCTCCATCCGCGCTCGGTCGGGGTCGGGCAGGGCCCCCCGGGGCCCACAGCGGGGTCGCTGCCCCCCGGCCCGGCACGGCGCGCCGCCCCGGGCCCGGAGCCCTCCCGGTGCCGTTTCTCTGCCCGCGGCTTGCCGACGTCAGGGTTTTGTCGGTTTCCAGCAGGACCGCCGCTAAAATCGCCCCTGGGGGAGGCTCCGGTACCGGCACACCGCGCCGTGCCGCCGGTGCCCCGGGGCAGAGGAGCTGCCGGGCCTGACCGGGGCCTCACCCCGTCCTCCCACGCTCCCCTCCCGTTACCTGCCCGCGGGAGTCGGGAATTGCGGCACCTCCCTCCCGCCTGCCCTTGCGAAACCGGCCGCGGTGGTTCCTCTTCCTCGCCCAGCCGGGCGCAGCCGCGATCCCTCGGGGATCCCGGGGGCTGCGAGCCCATCCCGACCCCGCGGGGCTCCCCAAAAGCGGCCGGTGGGGAGGAACGGGGAGCCGGGATGCGCTGAGCCCCGCTGCCCCGGCCGGAGCGCTTTTAAGGCACAAAGGTGCTCATTGTGCCCCCAGCAAATCCCTAATCCCGCGCCGGTGCTGTGCCTGGCCTCGGCAGGCTGGCGGTGGGCTCCGGGACTCCGTTTCCCACCGGGAATCGGGTTTGGATCGGCCTCGGGATGCGCACGCGGCTCTCGGGAGGGAAACCGAGCTCGGGGGATTTCTCCCCGCTCCCGGTGCGGGCGCTGGAGGCCGGCTCTTGCCTCGGGCTGCCGGCTGCGAGCAGGACTGGGGCCCCTGTTAATGATCACCCTCTGACCTCCGGGCTGCAGGGAGCAAAGTCCCTCGGTGCCCGAGCCGAGCGCCGGCCGCTCCGAGGGGAACTCACCGGCTTCTCCCCGGGAGCCGAGGTGGAAATTGGGGTGCCTGGTGGGGCCGGGGTGGGATCAGTCGTCTCCTCGGAGATGCCCCCCTCACCTCTCCCCGTTTCCCTCCCCCCCCAGCATGTTTCAGACCTTGTACAGCTATTTTTGGTGGGAACGGCTCTGGCTCCCGGCAAACCTCACCTGGGCTGACCTGGAGGACCGGGATGGGCGAGTCTATGCCAAAGCCTCTGACCTGTACATCACCCTCCCCTTGGCCTTCCTCTTCCTCGTTGTCCGGCACCTCTTTGAGACGTGAGTCCCTTCCCTGGGGGTGGGGGCGGATCCTGAGCCCCCCGTCCAGCTCTGCCCGTGCCCTGGGGGCTGTGGCTGAACCCCGGGGTGTGGCACCCTGTGCTCAGCCTAGCTGGGGGTCCTGATCCCCCCTGACAAACCCGCGTGCTCCCCTTTCCCCACACAAACGCGGCGTTTAGGCAGAACAATGGGAACAGACCCGGCTTTGTTGGGACAGCAAGGGGGGGGGGGCCGAGCGGGGACAGCCCGTGACAGAGGGACCCCGGGGGGCTCCCTGTGGCAAAACCCACCCTGGAGGGGGCACAGCACTGAGTGCTTGTATGACAAAATCATCCAGGTGACAGGAATGGGGACGTTGGTGTCCCCAACTCCTTCCCCAGGTACGTGGCCACCCCTCTGGCCGGGCTCCTGAACGTCAAGGAGAAGGTCCGGTTAAAAGCCACCCCCAACGCGGTGCTGGAGAAGTTTTACGCTGCCACCAGCAAACACCCCAAGCAGGTGAGGGCTTGGCGGGGGGGGTCCCCAGAGGTGTGTCTGGGGGGGCTGAGGGTGGCTGTGTGACGCAGCGGGGCCGCCCTGCCGTCCCCAGGCCGACGTGGAGATGCTCTCCAAGAAGAGCGGCTGCACCGTGCGCCAGGTCGAGCGCTGGTTCCGCCGCCGCCGCAACCAGGACCGGCCCAGCCTGCTGAAGAAATTCCGGGAGGCCAGGTGAGACCCTCCCTCCCTCCCTGCCTGCCGTCACTGTCCCTCCACCCTGGGGGGCTCTGGGAGTCCCGGCTTGGCCAGGAGCTGCCCGGGAGGGTGGGAGATGCGGGATCCGGGGCCGGCGGGTCCGTCCTCCTCCCTCCTGCTCCCCGGTGCCCGTCTGAGGACAGTCTGCTTCCTTTTTCCAGTTGGAGATTCACCTTTTACCTTATTGCTTTCATTGCTGGCATGGCTGTCATAGTGGATGTGAGTATTGCCCCCCTCCCCTTGCTCCCCCAGCCCCCCTGGCCCCTCTGACTTTGTGTCTCCCCCTCCCCATGCTGCAGAAACCTTGGTTCTACGACCTCCGGGAGGTGTGGAAGGGATACCCCATCCAGGTGAGCATGGATCCCATCCCAGCTTTTCCTGACCACCAGGATCTGCAGTGGCAACTGGAGGTGCAGGGGTGTCTCCTGGCACCCCTGGGGGTTTGGGGGTCCTCAGGACACCCAGATGGTGCCCACAGGAGGGGACCAAACCCCTCTGGGGGACACAGAAGCCCCCCCACAACCTGTCCCTTGCCCCCAGAGCATACTGCCCTCCCAGTACTGGTACTACATGATCGAGCTCTCCTTCTACTGGTCCCTGCTCTTCAGCATCGCCTCCGACGTCAAGCGCAAGGTGGGGGCTCGGGGAGGGGGTGGGAGGCACTGGGACATCTCAGGGTTTTCTTCAGCCTCGTGGTGGGCAGGAGGGAGCAGCTGGGAGGATGTGGGCTCAGGGATGGGGTGGGAGGCACTGGGACATCTCAGCAGGGTTTTCTTCAGCCTCGTGGTGGGCAGGAGGGAGCAGCTGGGAGGATGTGGGCTCAGGGATGGGGTGGGAGGCACTGGGACATCTCAGCAGGGTTTTCTTCAGCCTCGTGGTGGGCAGGAGGGAGCAGCTGGGACACACAGGGGCCGTGGGATGGGGGTTTGCTCTGGGTGGGATCCAGGCTGCTGTGACCCCCCCCCCCACTTTGCTGAGCTCCCCGTTGCTTTGGGCACAGGACTTCAAAGAGCAAATCATCCACCACGTCGCCACCATCATCCTCATCAGCTTCTCCTGGTTCGCCAACTACGTCCGTGCCGGGACGCTCATCATGGCCCTGCACGACTCCTCGGATTATCTGCTGGAGGTTGGTGTGTCCCCCTCCCCTGCTGCCCCCCGTGCTGGGCCCCCTCCCCAGCTCACCCCCTCCGCCCCCTCCTCAGTCTGCCAAGATGTTCAACTACGCCGGGTGGAGGAACACCTGCAACAACATCTTCATCGTCTTCGCCGCCGTCTTCATCATCACCCGCCTGGTCATCCTGCCCTTCTGGTGAGCTCTGCTGGGCAACGGGGAAACTGAGGCAGGGGCTGGGGGAGCCTCGGGGTGGGGGGTGGGATGCTGGTTCTGCCCGTGACAGGATGGCTTTTCCTGGCAGGATCATGCACTGCACGATGTTCTATCCGCTGGAGCTCTACCCCGCCTTCTTTGGTTACTACTTCTTCAACTTCATGATGGTGGTGCTGCAGTCGCTGCACATCTTCTGGGCCTACCTCATCATCCGCATGGCCCAGAAGTTCATAACTGGAAAGGTGAGAGGGGGGTGTCGTGGGGGAAGGAGCCACTCGGGGTCCTCTGCCGGGGAGACCCCCAGATCCTGAATCCTGAATCCCAGCTGCTCTTGGCTCACCAGATCCCCTCAGCGGGGAGAAACCGCTGTGGTTGCAATGGGGAAACTGAGGCACGGCAGGAAAATGGGGGACTGGTGCCTGAACCCCCTTTTCCCTCTGCGCACAGGTGGTGGAGGACGAGCGGAGCGACCGTGAGGAGACGGACAACTCTGAGGAGGAGGAGGAGGTGGCCAAGAACGGGCCCCTCTCCAACGGCCACCCTGTCCTCAACAACAACCACCGCAAAACCGACTGAGTGCCCCGGACCCGAGAGCTGCCACCGGCCCGGCCCCTCCGGCCGCTCCACACCGGGACCCCGGAGCGTCTGCCGGGCCCCACCCCTCGGGAGCGGGGCCGCAGCTCTGCCTCACACTCACCGCTGGTGCCCTTCCACCTCTCACCTGCTGCCTTAATCCACCGCGGTTCCCCGGGACCGGCGGGGAGCCCACCGGGACGGCTCCATCCCCCCGGGGCGGCTCCTTCCCGCCCCGCAGCCCCTGGGATTGGCTCTGGCCCCTTGCCGGGCTCTGTGTTATTCCTACTTTCCCAAGCATTCCTTCACCGGGGGGAGGGGGAAAAGCCCCTTTCCCTGAGCTGGAAAAGCCGGCTCAGCCCCTGCTCCGCCGAACCGGGAGGGAGGAGCAGGGAATTCCTGGGTGTTTCAGGATGACGGGATGACACTGTGGAAGTACTTGGGGGAAGGAGGCTGCGGGGCTGAGTCACTCCTTGTGCCTCACAGAGTTTAATCCTCTCTCATTTCTCTTCGGTAAATGGATTTTGAGTCTCTCCCTCTCCGTGGCCTCTCCCAGCTGTAACAGGACAAATTTCCAACTTGATTTTTCCTTTTTTTTTTTGTTTTTTTTCTCCTTTTCTTTCTATTTATTTGGAAGACAGAAGGAGCCGGGCTTGGCTCTGTCTCCTGCATCCTTTGGGATGCTGTGAGACCTCCCAGCACGGAGGGGTGGGGGGAAAAAGGACCAGTAACCAATGTCAGACCAAAACGTGTTTTGTTATTCTTGGTTTTTTTTGGTTGGGTTTTTTTTTTTTTTTTTTAATAAATAAAAGGTTAAATATATTAAAAGTTTAAAAAACTAATAAACTTGGGTAAAAAAAAAAAATACAGGATTTGGGCATGTTCTGTGAGTGGCACAGTGGCCCTGGGTGGGAGGTTATTTTGGCATAGATCCCTTAGGCAGTGCTAAAAATGGGCAGAGTTGAGGATTTTGATGGTTTTTATGTATTTTTTTTTTCTCCTTAAAGTTCTCCACGTCTTCAAGCCCAGGCTGGAGCGTGGGTTTGGGTTCCCTGAGGAGCTGCAGCCCCGCTGGGATGACAAAGCCTCCATTGAGGTGGACACTCAGGATGGAGCTGGAGCTCCAGGAGGCCCCAGAAAGGTTTTATTTTACAAAGAAAAAAACCCAAAAAACCGGTTATTTAGCAGAAAAGAGCCCAACAAGCCTCCCTTGTGCAGGGCTGCTTGGAGTGGGCTGCGTTGGCTATGGGGGGCTGGGATGGTTGGAATTGACTCCAGCACCTCCTGGATTTTTCCACGTCAGTAACGTGAGATTTGATCCCGGTTTGTCAAACCTCACCTCTTTCATCCAGTCCTCAGGGTGTTTTTTTAAACCCTTTGGATCTGTCCTGGTGCCTTCCCCCTCCCAAACAAAAAGGAAACCCAAGCCCCACTCCTGGGACTGGGGCCTCTCCCTCCCTGCCCTGCCCGGGGACCCGAAGCCAGTCTGGGGCTGTCCCCAGCTCGGGGCTCTCTCACATTTTGGGAGGGCTGCAGATGGGGGCAGGCACCACATCTGCTTCCTCAACAAAATCCCAACCCCTTCCTCTGTAACTTTCCCCAGTGGAAGGCTTTAAGGAGTGTTTGTTGTGAGGAAAGGTGAAGGAAAGGTGAAAATGTGGGAGCTCCTTATTGCTTTGCCTGGGCCCATCCACGCCTGGCATTTTTCCTGCAAACTCCACGGAAACAAAGGTGATGGCAGCAGTTCAACTCTGCTTTTTCAGGGCTCTTTGCTGTGTCTCGAGATCAGGGTGGGTTGTTTTTAATAGAAAAACACACTTTTATTGCTTTTTAGCAACTCAAAGACTCTCTACAGCTCACAGATGAAGACAGATAACTACTTGTTGTCTTTTTTTTTGCCTGAATTCTATAAATCCTGATTGGTCCAGTCTTCCAGGGATTCTTTCCACCACCCTCCCTCCCACTTCCAAGGCCTCAGTCCCAACTGGGAAACACTTCCCAGGAACAGTGGGGAAGCGCTTGCTGCTGGAAAAAGGAGGTTTGTGCCTTAAATTTGGTGGAAAGATGGAAGAGAGCAGGAAAAGCTCATTCCTTGAGAGAGCCTGCTGTCTTGTGGGATAACTGGAGCCTCTGGAATGTGGGAGAAGCCCAGGCGGGCTGGGAATCACCCCCCAGCACAGCCCAAGCCCCTTCCTGCTCTGTGTCCATCTGTGATTTTCCAGCTGAACGGGAGAACTGAGAACTTCTGCAGAAGAAACTTCACCCTCACTGAGGGAAAGTGAGCACCAGGCCTCTGGAGAGGGGCAGGGGGGGCTCAGAGCAGCCGGCCCCGGCAGTCGATGGCCCCGCAGCAGCACAGCAGCTCCTTGCCCTCCACGCTGCCAACCTCGTAGTTGTAATCCCAGGTCAGCTCTGTGCCAGCTCTGATCCGCCTGGGAAGGACAAAAACCACACAGGGTGGGTGAGGAGACTGCTCCAGAAAAGAGGAGAAACTGGATGAGAGAAGGAAGGCACGCTTCCGTGTGAAAGGGATAAAGCTGCCTGAGGAATCCTGTGAGGATTCACTGGAGGAGCAGAGAGGCACACGGCAGGGGTTCACCACGACTCAAAGACTGGGGAGTGAAACCAGAGGGGAAATTGGCTGCTCCGTGCCTCACTCTGCCCTTTGGGAAGGTCTAAAACTGGTGGAAATCACACCAGAATCTCCAGCACAAGAGAGGATCTCACCTACCACCGAGGTTTTCTCTGCACAGCAATGATGGGAAACAGGGAATGGGGTTTCCAGGAGCAGGGAACACCCAGCCCTGGCCACGCTCCCACCAAAACCCAGGAATTCCAGCCCCTCCCAGCACTCCAGGACTCACTTGCTGGCAAAGAAGGCGACCCAGGGGAAGCGAAGGTCGTGGGTGTCCACGAAGACGTTCTGCACGAAGAGGTTTGGGGTGCAGCTGTGCTGTAATGGCAACAGAGAAGAGCCTGAGCTGCTGCCTGGGCAGGGAGGCCGAGCTGCCAGCACTGAACAGAGCTTTATAAACAAGCAGCATTCCTGGTTTGCCTGCCACATCCAGTGGAATCCTGCTGGAACAGGCTGCACGCCCGGGCTGAGTCATAAGATCCACACTCAAAGGTAACGGGCTCTGCAAGGACTGCCAGGGCCGTTCCTGCTCCCACCAGGCTGGAGCAGCTGTTTTTTCACTCAGGAAGGTGCATCATCCTCCCAAACCTGCTCTTTCCCCGCTTCTCCCTCCGCTCCAGGATGAGGCTGAGGCAGCCAGGGAGAAAGGGATGAAATTCCCTGAGGAATCATTCCTGTGAGGATTCACCGGGGGAGCAGAGAGGCACACGGCAGGGATTCACCACGACTCAAAGATGTGGGAGTAAAACAAGAGGGGAAATTGGCTGCTCCGTGCCTCACTCTGCCCTTTGGAAGGTCCAAAACTGGTGGAAGTCACAGCAGGACTGGGGAGGAAGAGCCCCACTGAGCAGTTTGCAGTTCGTTTGAGGGGACTCCCTGGGGGCCCCCTAAACTGCACTGGTAGCAGCAGGCAGGCAAGGAGACCCCACTAATTAGAGGGGTGCTAATTAGATGAGGGTTTATTGGGGGTTCCAACCCCATGAGCAGCACGGTTTCTGAGGGAGAAGGGAGAGGGAAAGAGAGAGCCTGGGGAGAAAAGTGGCCAAGAGAGCGCTCAGCTTAACAGGGAGATTCAACCCGGGAATAAAACTTGGCCCAACGCGATGACAACCACGCCACCCCTCAGGGCAGCATTGCTTGCACCAAAGCCTGCATTCCCCAGGGGTGGAACAGCACTGAACTCAAACGTGGCACTCACGTTGAGGTAGCGGCCCAGGTTGCCCTCGAGCTTGGCGTCGATGATGTAGCAGTTCTCCTCGCCGTCGTAGAACTGCCGCGTGCTGCGGCGCACGGGCCCCGCGCTCTCGCCCTTGTCGGCCGCCGCCAGCGGCGTGGATTTGATGGCGATGCCGTGCGTGGATTTCAGGGCGAAGCCTCGGGTGGATTTCACAGCCACCTGTCTCTTGACGGGACCTGCTGCGAGATGGGATCGTCCAGCAGGGCTGGGAGGCACCCGCTGCTCCAGCCAGGGGTGACAAACGCGTCCGAGCCCAAACACCGCTCCGGGGGGGAACCCGGATCAGCCCAGCCCTGATCCGGGGGGGAACCGGGATCAACCCAGCCCTGATCCGGGATGGATCCTGGATCAACCCAGCCCTGATTCGGGATGGATCCTGGATCAACCCAGCCCTGATCCGGGGGGGAACCAGGATCAACCCAGCCCTGCTCCGGGGTGGATCCTGGATCAACCCAGCCCTGATCCGGGGGGGAACCGGGATCAACCCAGCCCTGATCCGGGATGGAACCGGGATCAACCCAGCCCTGATCCGGGGGAGAACCCGGATCCACCCAGCCCTGATCCGGGGGGGAACCCGGATCAGCCCAGCCCTGATTCGGGATGGATCCTGGAATCCACCCAGCCCTGATTCGGGGTGGATCCTGGATCAACCCAGCCCTGCCCAGCCCTGCTCCAGGATGGATCCTGGAATCCACCCAGCCCTGATTCGGGGTGGATCCTGGATCAACCCAGCCCTGCCCAGCCCTGCTCCAGGATGGATCCTGGAATCCACCCAGCCCTGATTCGGGGTGGATCCTGGATCAACCCAGCCCTGCCCAGCCCTGCTCCAGGATGGATCCTGGAATCCACCCAGCCCTGATTCGGGGTGGATCCTGGATCAACCCAGCCCTGCCCAGCCCTGCTCCAGGATGGATCCTGGAATCCACCCAGCCCTGATTCGGGGTGGATCCTGGATCAACCCAGCCCTGCCCAGCCCTGCTCCAGGATGGATCCTGGAATCCACCCAGCCCTGATTCGGGGTGGATCCTGGATCAACCCAGCCCTGCCCAGCCCTGCTCCAGGATGGATCCTGGAATCCACCCAGCCCTGATTCGGGGTGGATCCTGGATCAACCCAGCCCTGCCCAGCCCTGCTCCAGGATGGATCCTGGAATCCACCCAGCCCTGATTCGGGGTGGATCCTGGATCAACCCAGCCCTGCCCAGCCCTGCTCCAGGATGGATCCTGGAATCCACCCAGCCCTGATTCGGGGTGGATCCTGGATCAACCCAGCCCTGCCCAGCCCTGCTCCAGGATGGATCCTGGAATCCACCCAGCCCTGATTCGGGGTGGATCCTGGATCAACCCAGCCCTGCCCAGCCCTGCTCCAGGATGGATCCTGGAATCCACCCAGCCCTGATTCGGGGTGGATCCTGGATCAACCCAGCCCTGCCCAGCCCTGCTCCAGGATGGATCCTGGAATCCACCCAGCCCTGATTCGGGGTGGATCCTGGATCAACCCAGCCCTGCCCAGCCCTGCTCCAGGATGGATCCTGGATCAACCCAGCCCTGCTCCGGGGTGGATCCTGGATCAGCCCAGCCCTGCCCAGCCCTGCTCCGGGATGGATCCTGGATCAACCCAGCCCTGCTCCAGGATGGCTCCAAGAATCAACCCAGCCCTGCTCCGGGGTGGATCCCAGATCAGCCCAGCCCTGCTCCAGGATGGATCCCGGATCAGCCCAGCCCTGCTGCAGGATGGCTCCAAGAATCAACCCAGCCCTGCTCTGGGGTGGATCCTAGAATCAACCCAGCCCAGCCTGCAGACCCACCACAAGCCTCACTGTTGCTTTTTCTTAAAACACCCAAAAATATCTGCTTTTGAGGAGCAGGTTTTGGAGTTTTGTCTTGCCAAACGCATGGGGAAGGTTCCAAGCTCTTCCTGGTGCTTTCCAACCAAAACTTCTCACCCTCAGCCCTGGTCTCCCACCTCACCTGA